CAATATTAAAATATTCCTATAGGTATTTTTTTAAATGAAAAATGGAAGTGATTTCCTGGGCCATGTCACACACGCAATAATGTTTGTTCAGGATATCTGTAATCTGGTAGGATAATTTTTGAGTACTATAAATAGTTCTCATTTTTTGGTTTCGGAAACTGCTGGTGCCTCAGGTTGTGATTTGTTTGCTTGGGTAGGTACATCTCGTGAAAGATATCGAGATCAATGTTAATCTGTCTATGAATTGAAATCGCCTCCTTTAGACAAAAAGGTTTTCTACCGTAAGTATTTTATGTTTATTGAAGCTAAAGGAAGTTGTTTGAAACTGTGGCAAATTATCAATTAGCCGAACCGCGCGCTTTTGTAATGTAAGTAATTGCTTGATATTATTTACTGTGGTTGTCCCCCACACCAATAAGCAGTAATAAGGTCTCGAGTGAATAATATATTTATAGATATGTCGTTTTAATTAGTTTGGAAGAAGTCTGCACCAAAAAAGTAAACCAATGAATCTAGAAATCTCCTTTCGTAGATCGTTAACTTGGGCAGTCCAAAACAAATTTTCGTGGAAACGAAATCCAAGAAATTTATAAGATTCTACGCGTTCAATAATGGAGTTTCGAAAGGATATATTCATTCTGTTAGTAATGGGTTTGTTTTTTGGTCTAAAATTGATATACGTAGTTTTAGACGTATTTAGTTCTAACTGATTTGCAACTAACCACAAGTGAAGCTGGTCCAACCAAGTGTTTGTCTGTGTCTCTAAAGTAAATAAGCAATTACCGGTGAAAAATTCATTCGTGTCATCTGCGTATAAAGTTATGTCAGGAGTTTCTGGATGTTTATTATGTCGTTAACGCAAAGATGGAAAAGTAGAAGCCCTAAAATTGATCCCTGCGGTACACCATACTGGCATTTTCCTACACACACAGCGCACATCATGGAGGACCGTATACTAAAGACTAGATGTCAAGTAGCTGCGGATCCGGCTAAGTGCAGTACCTCTTATTCCAGAAATTGGTGGTTTTCGGAGTAGGATGTCGTGTTTTATAGAATCAAATGCTTTTTCGAAATCTATAAAAACTCCTAGTGTATAACATTGGTTTTCGATGTTGTCTAAGATTTTATTTTTTATATTTAGCAATGGCCATCTCCGTTGATTTACCTTTCTGGAATCCATACTGGTTGTTTGTAATAATGTTATGTTTAGCACAGAATTCACTTAAACGTTTGTAAATAACGCGTTCGACTATTTTTAGAAAACCTGAAGTACCGAGATTGGTCTTTAGTTACTCATGTAATTCTTAGGACCGCCTTTATGAATTGCACATACCTTTGCTATTTTCAGTTTTTCTGGAAAGGTACCAGTGCTTAAAATAATGTTGCAAATGTGGGCAAGGGGTGAACAGATTAAAAAGGAAACTTTTTTTATTGGCTTAGAACGCAGCCCATCTTCACCACAAGCGGCACTGTTGCCTAAGGATTTAATAATCGTGGTTACGTCTATTTCTCTACAGGGTGCTAGAAAAATTAAGTTATCCAAAGGTAATTTAACTTAGGATTCACACATAGGCGCGCTCGTGCTAGCTAACATTCAAGAACCCGATACTAAAAATGATAGTTAAATTTGTTTGCAAGAGATTGGCCGGAGTAGGTCACCTGCTCGATTTTAAGTTGTTTTGGGGCAAGAGCATGGGGTTTAGAAGCAAGTTCATTAACAGCCTGCCAGACTCTCCTTGGATTATTATATATCTAACTAAACTTAATTTTGTAGTAGTGAGCTTTCGCTTTTTTAGTATCGGCGTTGAGTTTTTTTCTCACTTTCTTGAATTCTTGTAGTCTACCAGTATCTCTTGTTGTAATTAACTTGTCTTACAATTTATTACGTTGCCTTATGCGTTTATATAACGTACATTAAATCCAACGTTTTCTTGATTTTTTTATAATACTTATATACTTGCCACGGAAATGCCTGTTCATAACTCCTCTGTATAAGGCCTAGAAATACATTATATGATTTATTGGAGTCTGTTTAAGTTAATACAGATTCCCAGTTTACATTCACTACCAAAGAACAGAAAGTACCAATGAAGCTATTATAAATTTTTCTATATAGCACCGGAGTGTTATTATCACATTACTCTTTAAATTCGATGGGCCGACAATAAAGCTGAATATTGGTAAGTGGTCCCTTAGATTACGAGATAAGACACCAGCAGCTTTTATATGACAGTTTGTAATACATAGATCAATTACCGTTTGCGTTTCCGTTTCTGATGTTATTCGAGTTGGCAATAGAAATGTGTGATCACATCCGTATGTCTGAACAATATCAAGTAATTCAAAAGAACCACTCACAGGTGAGGTCAGGTCGATATTGAAGTCACCTATTAAGACTAAGGAGAGGTTAAATGAAGTAGCATACTCCATAATTTTCTCGACAAATCCAAAAACTTCGTTAATGACCCGGTAGGGGGTCTGTAAGCAGCCACTGCTATCAGGAAATGGCATTTTGCAACTAGTGCTTCATAGTTAACATTGACTTTTGACAGTTCAGACAATACTTCATAATTGAGATGATCACGAAAATAGATAGCGATCCCCCCGCCCCTCTTATCACTTCGATATATTCCCTCACTGTTATAGCCTGGGGAAAAAATAACGTCCTCTCTGCTCGTAAACCACGTTTCGGTGAATGCTAAGATATCAAACGTGAAATTTAAGGAGTTAAAAACATATCAGTGTCATCGTGTTTATTACCAAGACTTCTAGCATTTAAGTGAAAAAATTATAACGCATTTTTGTTACAATTAAGACATTCTCGTGCGAGATGAGAAAAAGATGCTGGATCGTGATAATTGTCCGCCATTAGAAACGGGAAACAAAACAAGAATTTTTTCCGCAGTCATCGGGCTGTTTACACATCAAGGTCGGCCTCGCATTCGATCTTTATAACACGGTCACCTGTTTTCTTTCTCGCGAACAAGTTACCATTTTTCTGTCATGAAAACTGATATCATTTTTCTTAAGCTTTTCCCTTCTGCAACCAAAGAATCTTCTTGTTCGTGGCAGACAGATTGTCAAGAAACGAGATATTCGACCGGGTTTCTTTTAGGTAGTGCCTTTTTTCAAGCCATAGGTCTCGAGTTAATCGTGATACGAAGCGAACCAACACAGCTGGAACTTTACCCGTTTTTGCTGGAAGTCTGTGGAAGCCCTCCACATCCCTCTCGGTTAGCTCTGGAAGCTCTAGCTTTTCAGCGAGGTCATTTAATTTACTAAGGATGTTCTCAATTGCGCTTTGTGATATATTATGGATCTCCAGGTTTTGTCGTCTCGAGTACTGTTCTAGACTGTTGACTTGTTTTTTCAGCGTGCGGATTTCTTCACTGCCTTTGTTTTCCTCAATTTTTTCCATCCGTTTCTTCAGGTGGGTTATTTCTTGTGACTGCTTTTTATTCCCTTTAAAACTTCATCGTACTAATTTGACATCTGTTTTACCGATTTTTCGATCTGATCAACGGTGTCTTTGATTGACATTAGAGATTCAACCTTTGCATGAATCGTCATGATTGCAGCGAGCCTGTTGTTGATAGCCGCTAGCTCTTGCATAAGCTGGGGCTCTTGTTCAGGCTTCTGTTTCTCGGGGTTTTGAACACCTCGGCTTTTCGCGGTGAGGCATGTCTGGCATTTCCATGTAATATTTGTGGAATTCTTATGTTTGTCCTTTGAAGTATTCTCACCTGAACAAGTTCCCACATGGTAACCATAGCCGCAGTCCGAGCAGGTTAAGTACTTCGTAACATCACGTAATGGTTCACCGCAAACCAAGTGAATACTTCCCTAGTTTTGAGTTCCAAACAATGCTTCGAACGTTACATTTGGATTTGTCATCGAACTTGTTTTCAACTAAGAATAAGTAACCGGAATTCCTAGCATCGCAACACAACCTTGCGAATATAAGGGGGCGCCTGAGAAACGACCTAGCACTCTTCTTTTGCTCTCAGCAGTGTTCCTTTTTTTCAGTTTATTTTAAAACGCCGGAAATTAGAGTCCTTATCAAACCTACATAAACAGAGAACCAGCCTTGTTTTATGTGAATATGTGGCTTGAGAAGGGTAAGCACGTATGCCTAAGAAAACAGATAGCAATACAGAAATCGAAAAGTGGAAAACGCGAGCCAAACACTGGATTTACCGCGCGAAAGTAAGAGATACGCCTTCGTTGCTAGGAGTGTTAGGATTTCCGTGCAGTAAATTTTCCTTTGTGGCTCACACTTCGAAATCATTTGCCACGATTTTCGAATGTTGCAATGTTCTCATTATTTTCGTTTTGCGTCTCCGGAGCTGTATGCCACAAGTTATAGGTGTGCTGGGTACGTGAAAACAGGTCATTATTCACACGCTGCTCTGGCATCAGAAATGTCTGTAATAGTGTATATGTAGATTGTAAATGATAGCTAGCCCAGGTATTTCTTACACACATCCGATGAAGATTGTTCAGCTCTGAATTTTGCAATAATTATTGTCCAAATACTGTCATCACTTCAAACAAATGAAGAAATCGGCCTGGTTAAAACATAAGGATTTTTATGTGTAACTTTAGAGTTCTACATGAACGGCCGGAAATGAGCGTACCTCAGATGTAAGCAAATTGCGGACTGAGTTCGGAAGGTAGAATCAATATATCACCAAAGCATTAACGCGTGAATGCTGTGATAACCATGTTAGCAAAAGTAGCTGACGTCTTTGCGATTAATGTTTTGTTATTTGGTAATCTTGCGCTGTTAATTGCAACATGACTACACGCCTCGAATACTTCAAAGATGCTCTAAAATATGATAGCCATAACCTCTTAGTGTATAGTCGACTAAATGCCACGATTATTTCCTGTAGAAGTGAGTATGGTAAGCATGCTTGTTCCTATCAAAGTTTTGTGAGTACCAAAGAACCAGAGAATAACTCATTCACCTATAAAACTGTTTGAAACTATACATCTTTATTTTATAATACAGGCAATCATTGGCACTCAGCCCGAGATAAATGCATAACTTAGTTAAATATATTTTCACGGGCCTGCACAAGGTTTGGAGGTGACAAAATATACGTTAAAAAGTAATCACAGTCTCGCAGAAGGGGGCTGACATTCACAAACAGGCGGCTGTTTTACCCGTGATGCTCGGTGTCAAAGAGGGCCTTCTTCGCGGTACAGATTCCCCGGGCACCGGTGATGATAGCTGCTCCGGCCTCTAGTTCGCAGTGGTTGGTGCCAGAACATTTGTCTTGGAACAGAGGGACGCACTGCTCTCCTGGGCACTGCATACGACGATTAAAGGAAAAGCATGTTCACCTTTTACGTTTATGATCTGGGACTTCGTAAGCAGGTGCTTTGACGCATTTTGACTGAGTTGAGGCTGGCAGCTTGCTGCAATGCAATGTGTCAACCTAAAAATGCGAATGTACAGACGGAGAGCGTGAGCTTCGGTATGCCGAGAACTAGTTCGTCTCCCTTTTGAGCACTAGTTGCGCTGACATCAGAAGCCAAGCTCTGATTGGCTCTTATTGGAATTAGGGGGGATAGACCTCAAGGCAGCAAGCGTTGAGGCCTAGCCACTCTTCCCTCCTCAGAGCCGATCAGAGCTCGGCGTTCTGACGTCAGTGCAACCGTCGCAAGACGAACTTGCGCTCCGCATTGGTGATTGGTCGTGCGTTTTGGCGACTAACGCCGCACTCTCATTGGCTGAGGGGCGACACTAATATGCTCGGTACTCGCCACGTCCTGCGCTCCTTAAACTTTCGGTAACTATAGGCGAAACCTGATATAAGGGCGTCTGCTGACATGCAGCATATACGCCCTTAATCGATAACAGATTAAGGGCGTACTAAGTGTGATGCAGCCGTGTGCCTGCATGTCAGGCGCACGCTGCATCTATAGATGCAGCCGTGCGAATATGTCTTCAAAATTGTGATTAACTAAACCGAACAAAAAACAACGTTCAACGATCAATGCGATTTAGTCGATAAAAATACGTTGGCAGTGGCTCTTTATAACCCCTTTTAAAATATGATGATAGTTTGCCTGCTGCCTCTACGGCAGCAGACGAACAACGCTTACGCTATTCCTCTGTCTCGGCCTGACGTCGCCGACCCGTTGTTCCGGCTTTCTCCGGCATCGCTCTTGGATACGGTCAGCCGTAACACTCGCGGAAAGAACCACATCCAATGCGGCGCGGCGCCTGCTTGACTCCGGCTCCGCGTCAGCTGTGTGACGCTCGTATTGGTCCGAAGCGCTGACGTCAGCATGCATCACCCATTCCCCGCCTTCGACCAACACCTCTTAGGTAACAAAGCCGTTGCACTGAATCAGATGGCGTGATCAGTGAAGGTCAATGCTGGACACAGATTGTAAACCAGTGCTGCGCTAGCGCTCGTGTTTGACTCAGGTTTGGGCCAAACACTGACGCAGTCGTCGTGTCCAATTTGTGCCCAGCGTTAGCCTTCTCTGATGACGCCGTCTTATTCAGCACTACGGCTTTGTTTTCTAGGAGGTGTGAGGCTGTCAAGATACCACCTCACAACCCCTCTCTCCGCACGACTTCCTCCATGGCGCTGACAAACCGACGCACGGACTGACACCGGTGGGTTTTCGTGAAAACGGGTGTTCTAATGTTAACGCGTTAAAACGGACACCCTGAAGTGAAGTGTTTTTAGGATGCGGTAAAAATATGGCGTTCTTTGCCGTGTCCCATAAACGAAATGCGGCAACCGACGATGCGCTGCACGCTGATTTGCAGAGATTTAATGACCGCATTTAAATTTAGTGTCTGAACCTTCCAAAAAAAATTTCGTACGGTGATCATGTGGTGATCACTGTAGCGTCACGTGACGCCATAATACCACGTGAGAGTGTGACGTTACGAGTCACCATGACGCCACGTGACACTAACTTCTCGCTAAATTTAGCACCGAATTTCCTCGCTAAATTTGGTGGGAAAATGATCCCGCTGAATTTAGCTGATAAATGTTTTCGCTAGCTTTGGCGGGCCACGCTGCACACAAAACACACACGGGATCCACTGTGATACCTTGCCAATGTCGGCTATCAAAGTAAAACGTCGCATGCGCTATAAATATTACACATACGGGACAAATTCAGAGCGTTCTAGTGATGCCCAGCAAGTGGTTTGTTGATCATGATGTAGAAAACCCGAGACTGTGTTAAAAGCTGGGAAACTTGGTCGAAGAAGAAAGACGGGGGAAAAGAGAGTCTCTTTAAGACGTTCTTTTCCCCTGTCTTTCTTCCTCGACCAAGTTTCCCAGCTTGTACCACAGTCTCGGGTTTTCTACATCATGATCTACATCCAGCAGCTCGCCTGCACACTGACTGTTTTTTAAAGTGGTTTGTGGCATCTAGAAGGAGATGCCGATAATAGAGAGTGTTGGAATAGGGGCCCCAACACTTTGGGTACCCCTAAACAGCTTGAAACATCCCAATGCGCAAGCGCTGTAGTTCTGCGCATGCCCGTTGCTAAGTCCCAAGCTGTTTGGGGGGCCCTATGCGTCGGCGTCCCCTATTTCAAGACTTCCTATTGTCAGAGTTTTCCCCTTTCCTTTCACCTTGTAGCAGACTTCGCAGCAGTCACAAGCGTCCTTGTGGGTTCCGCATTTGCAGTCCGGTTTCTTGCAGGCCGCTGCGTCACATTTTGAACTATCACACTTGACAGGACTGGTGGCGAAAGCACTGCATTTCAAGAAGAAAAAAAAACATTTATGTTATTGTACCTTGTCATTTTAATTGCAAATGTTTCTAATTACTTAAGGACCGTCCCTATTGAAAATCGCTCTGATGGGACTTCAGGATTTTTTTAAAGGGTGTGAAGGGGACTTCAGGAATTTCTGAGATGTTTGACGGGGGCACCGATATTTCCTGGTGGGTTCACTGGCCCCGTCAGAGGCCCTCCTGAAATGTCTGAAGTCCCCTTTACGATGCCTTGAAATGTCTGAAAGCCTGTCAAGAACTTTTCTAGTGGGGTCGGGAAAACCTTCAGGCCTCTTGATATGGCTGTGTGGGCCGGCCCAGGTGGAAAAAACACATTTCGCAGAATTAATGAACGTAGCTGCTTATTGTACACTACGGGGGAAAAATAAGTATTTGGAGAATGCCGATCGTGTGTGAGCACGGTCAGATTTTTATTACTGCTCTTCTATCAAATACGAGTGGGCTCCTGGACCCGTCTGTCACTGCCCGGGTGTTCGGTCGCGAAAGAGGCTACTGAGGGCGACGGCCCATGTGGAGAATTGACGAGCCGCGGGCCGAGTGGTGTTGGCCGAGCGGCGTTTTGAGGCCAACGCAATCCTGTCCGCTCGTGGCGAAATACGTGCAGCTAGGGTGCCTCAATGTCCTTCGGTTTAGGGTGATGCCACCCATTGTAGTACCCGATGCCGACAGCACGCGCTCACGGCTAAAATACAAAGAAATCGACGACAACAAAATGTCGCCGTAGCACAGTCAGCGCCACGAGCGCGTGCAGGGACACGTTCTTTCACGCGCTTCTGAACAAAAAATAAAAATAAAAGTGTGAGACAAAATGTCCAGATGTCTCCACCCTAAGCAAAGCGCACATGAAGGCAAACTACGTGCAGCCATGTATAAAAAAAAAAAAAACAAGGAAGAAAGAAAAAAAAAAAAAAGAACAAGCCGAGAGCAGTGCGCGCTTTCCAGGAACAGGGACGAACGCGGGAGCGACTTGTTCCGGGAACCGGTCCCCCCACGGGGGACTCCCCAAAAAGCAATCGCCTCTCTCCGCCCGGCGATGGGGAGAGGGTGCAGGGCTGCCAGGCCAGCGGTCGGGGGGAGGAGGGTGCTGTGTGCAAGCGGGGGAGGCCATAGCCATTTTCTCTCTGCTCGTGTGCGGTTCCGGTTATCCCACGAGCCGGGATGTTTGGAGCGGACCAATTTCCTCCAGGAAGGTGAGCATGCATGGTTTTGAGGGCTCGCCCCTTGGTCTGTTTTGATCCGTGCAGTTTCTTTCTTGGTACCGCAGGTGAACCATAGTTCGGCGCAGGCCGCCTTCAGCACCGCTCGAGCGCCATTGTGTTCAGCGCATTCAAGGAGATGGTGGCCGGTGTCGGCTTACTCGCTGCAAAGCCTGGCAGTCGGGGTCAGCGTCCCACCGCATGTTGTGCCTGTGCACCAAGATTATGCCACTGTGGGTGTTGAGACAGTGGATGACGGCCGCTGTCCGGACTTGTTCCTTGCGCCTCTTCGTCCGTCCGACTTCAGACCAGCGAGCGAAAAATACGTCGAAGACTCCGGCGCGATGTCATCATGGACGAAACCGTGACTGTGCTCGGGATTTCTCAACGGCGGCGGGTGCTGCTTACGAGTTCGTGGTTTTCGCTAAACGTGCTGACCGACTGTGTATGTGTCCGTGAGGTGCACCTGCTCTGTTTTATTAGCTGAACTACCGTACATCAGGAATATACCCAGCGGCATTGTGAGTACTTTGAAAGGTATTTTCCTTTGTAATAATGATGTCAGTTGTCCCTGTTTGATGTGATCCCTTTCGTCTACAGCTCCTTGCGCCGGGTTTGAACAAGCGTTGCTTTTTGAGTTCTAATATGCATGTAAAACTAAATGTCGGCAATAAATTTTCAGTGTTTTGACCTGCATTTTTGTCTATGGTTCACAGTCATTTGGGCGTCTAAAGGGCTGATGGGCTAAAGGGCCTGACGGGTTGAAGGGCTGTGGGGCTAAAGGGTTTTTCTATGGGGTATCCTTGAAGGGTTTTTCTGTAGGGTATCTTTGAAGGGTTTTGAAGGCCTGTGAGGTCCCATAATCCTTCAAGGCTGACGGGCCCTTTAGAAATATTTTCAATAGGGGTATACTCGTATATTGGATATTTCAGCAAAAGTAACCGGATAAACACTGTATAATTACAGTAATTCCTTTTGCACTATTGGTTTTGAATGCTCCCCTGTTTTTGCAGTACAGGTGAGACGGGTTGGCAAGATGATACTATTTTGAATACTTTAATAGCTATCTGAAATATTGAGTTTACTAAATATCAAGTCTATGCTGAGGCATTTACATAACTGCTCATCATTTATAGTTTTAAAGTAAAAGAACAAATCTAACATCGCAGAAGTTACCAATGTCAATCTCTTGAGTGATAAAAGCATAGAGTGTTATCGAAAGAGGAGTGACTTTCTAAATAAAGGGAATACCACGCAACGGACTCACAAGTTTACTTCAGCATTGATTTAGCGCTTCCGTTATATCGGGCGATACATTATTTTTCCTGCTGTTAAATTATATAATATTGCTTCAATTCTGTCCAAGACCTCGACATTTCTTGCAAGCGAAAGGACGCCGAAAACATATGAAGTTAAAAGAGCAAATGTGACTCGAAAAGCTTTGACCGATTTCCCGAAAAAGCGCATTTTAGGCTTCTTTCTTAAATAAAAGACTTTTCTGAAATACAATTATTTGAGAAAGCGTACTGATTTTACAGTATCATTTTATAAATACAAATGTAACACCATACTCGCGCTTGTACGCGACGAGATATTTTACGTCTAGAAAAAATTGAAAGTGACACTTTCGTTATGCGTCTATCAGTGTCACAATGACAAATGCATTTATAACATGGGTGAAACTTTTTGTGTACATATCTTCTGTGGATTTCGATTTTTTTGCCATTTTGTAATTATACGTCAGTGATTACGAATCACTGACGTATGAATGATAGGTGTCTCTGTGTTGCATTATCAAACTGGGTTTAGGATTTTAACCCGTTTTGTGAATTGTTTTCTTACTTCTCGTAATATTATATTCATCTCAGGACAGATCAATCCCATGTTTAAATTAATAAAATATTTTCTACAATATTGTGTAAAAAGTATGCATGTTTGCGGCTACGTAGGTATATGTATGTTGTTTATTTTTTTGCGTACATATGGCAGCTAATACAAGTTATGCTGTTATGAACTGTGGGGTTTATAGTCAGGCAGACATACTTTTTGTGTCTACCTCCCTAGCAGGCTTGGCCCGTGAGAAACCAGATAAACTTCAAACTTTGAACTTCTTACCCGATGGCGGTAACCGTGACCAGTACAAGAAGAAGGAGGACAAGCTTCATTTTGTGTTCTGAAATAAATAAAGGAGATGTAGAAATATTCAGAAAGTAAACTGCGTTCCCTGTTAGTGTCTACAGAAATTAAATATATAGAACCTTCGGCAGGACATTCCACTGGCGAAATGTTTTTACGTGATCGCAATTTTTTTATATCAGCATTGACATGTCATTTACTGTTTTTGTTGGTATGTGAACCGTCAAAAACTGTCAAGCAAGTTTTATAAAAACAAATGTTCAAATTATAATTACAGCTACTGAAAAGAATTATAGTTTCTACCAGGTGCGATTAAAACGCTTGATTTATGTCAATCTCCCAATCTCAAGAAAAGGTTGTATGAGCGCCTAACTGCAAAAGGTGGATGGTCCTTTCCACAATGTTTTTTTTATATTAAAAGTGATACTTAAATATGACTTACTAGATCATTAATTAAAAACAAAAACGTTCGGGCCATATACGCGTTTAATGAAGAGAACATATGGCAGGCCCATCTATCGCGAAGATAAATCCAAGGCGGGTCGGCTCGAATTTTTATTAGTACAAAATACAGACATATTAGCGACCGGCATACACAAGTAGTTGCTTGAGATGCATACATTCAAGGCTCCGAAATAAAATATAGAGAAACTGCAAACGTTTCTTGCGTGGCTTCCTTCTCACTTTTCCCTTTTTCTTATTAAGTTAAAGGCAAGGTCTCGTTTTTGAACACCTCTTTTTTCTAAAGGTTCTTTCTGGTAAAAGCGTCATGCATGTTTCACGTTCATCGGCGCGGAAGAAACTAAAACTCTGACCGCATTTATGAGGGGAATAGAAGATAATATGGGAGGGGGGGGCACCAGAAAATACCTGGGTGTGCATATTGTTACTTTCTACTGGCGTATAATATGGGAACAGTATTGAGTTATATAACCTTTAAGGACTATGGCTTCTTAAAAGAACAACTGATTGTACTTCCATTTGAGAATCTATGTCTTTTGCAGTCATTTTAAACTCTTCTTTAAAAAGTGCCTTCGAAATAATGAAAATATTATTTCTGTGCTCTAATTTATACGTTACACAATAATTTCCCTAAGCGCATATTTGTTTTAGGCATTGCTAGGTCTGGTGACAGATATGTATTCTGAGTCCCCAGGTGCACCAGCCAGTAAACGTTCTATGAAATACATCTAAATAAAATAATATATTTTAGCGTCTTGCGTTCTTTATTTTAAGCTTAATTAAATAGCTTTCAATTCCCCTTCTATTTTAGTATAATACACATTTTATTCGACACAGAGAGAAAATAACATGCCGAAGACACTTAAGATTGTTTACGTCTAGGAATGCGAAAGCATTCCTACACGCAGCGCACTCCTACAAACGGCGCGCCAAGTCTTCCTTTGACACACAGCGGACCGACGGTGACATCACGCTCCCCCACTGCGCAGCCGCGGCGCCCCCGCCGGCTTCACGGCTTCCGTGACCAATCATCTCCGTCGCTGTGCTTTTCATTGTGCTTAATTTCTGAGGCGCCTCCCCTTTAACTTTGAGCGGCATGCTTGAAGTTGATGAGGTATATTTGTGGCCATCTTTCGAGTACAACGCCGACGCCGCCTTTTCGCGTAATGGGACCATATAAGGCTTTCGCCTTCAAAAAAAGTCAAAACACCTATTAGCCGAATCAGTCAAATTGGTATATGCAGGCTCACACAGTGGAATGTTTGTTTACTCTAAAATACACTTCGTGTTAATGCTAAAGAATAGAAATTCGGCACAGTGCAACAAGGTGACTTGTCACATCTATGTCAACATCTCCCGAATCTACGCCGGTACAATTGGTTCTTACATACAAGCGGGTCTGATAGCGCACATTGGCAGGCTGCACATTTATACGAATTAATACCGTGAGTCATCTGCACTCAAACGTGGACTAAAAAGTAGTTAAAATACCAATTGTTAGAGTCTTTAAAATTTTCACAATTTGACAAAATCGTAGTGGGACGTATAAAAATTCTTTCCGGTTAATCTAACAAAGTACGCAATAAGATAACAGTTGTTAGCTGACAAATGACATGATTTTCGAGACAGCGTGAAAAAAGTAATTTCTAATACAAAAAAAAATGTGAGTAGTGTTTAGAGGAAATATAAATTGTTCGGCTAGCACCGATTTCATCGTGGGTTGAATATCATCGGGAGTCTCACTTACTAATTGCACCCGTATCAAGTTGCAATTATTCGTAAAAGTTCAGCCTAATTTACAAAAAATGGGTACACGCTCATTAGTTAAAACGTATTTACTACTTTATCTAGAACTAATTACTTGTAGTCAAACACCTGTAAGTGTTTACTTTACAGGTGCCCGATCAAGGGTCTGCGATTAAATATTCGCACGAAACTAAGATGGGATTATGGCGCGTTTTTTTTTTTTGTGTGTGCATTTATTTCTGAAACTTGTATACGCGACATGCATTTACGTCCAGTTACTCAGTTGCTCGTACAGTGACATGCCTCTCTAAAATCACGACGCGCTTCAGCATTTGGAAAAATGGCACGTTATTTCAGACCTCTTGCAACTAATTCACCACTTCCGCTACGATTTGCATTGGCTCCTTGTGTGTCTTTCTACAACACCATTCGCCTACTTCAAGGCTTCGTATTACTTGCACTAATATATTACTTACGAAAAGCCGTATTTGCCGCAGGAAGCAAACGACCTGCTGTAGTGCTTGATTTTCGAAAACATATATTCACTTCATAGATCAACATATATTCCTGTGGTCAGCTGAACATATTCCAGTGCCAGAATGCGCTCTGGACCGGAGTATTTATAATGTATTTGCGCTAAAAATCTGTCCACGTTTGGCCGCCCATTACGGCCAGAAAGTTCAGTCTATATACTATTGCCTCGAATAATTCGTGGAATGCCAGCGCACTTTATAGCGGTGTCATACAAAACTGCAGTACTATACGAACGTTCACACTTGCTTGCAAAAAAAAAAAAGAAAAAACAGGACGTGGCTTATATTGAGGTTTCTAGCGTCGTGATTTCTTCTCCGGCGTTCCTTTGGCTAATGCCGCATCACATTGACGGCAGAGCGGTATGAAGACGCTAGGAAACACGCGATGCCCTCCATTTCCTTCGCCGTGAAGGACTATGGAGGCTCTAACGTGGCAGTTTTTTTTCTCAGATAGTTCACTCGCCAAAATCCAAATGTACACCGAGAGGCCTAATGCTTGGGCCTAATACGGTTTTGCTCTAACGCGTTAGTGAGGGCCAGAGTAGCTTTTCTTCGACGCGTCCATGGCGTTTTCTCTGGCTTGGCACATAATTGCCAAAGTGCCCGACTTGAGCCAAAGACTCCGCGATGTGAACCGAAGAGCGAGCCTTTGGTGCTTAAATCTGGCAGTCGTTTGGCTAGTTAGGCCTAACGTTGCTGCGTGAGAACCGAACAACCAGAAGTGACAGCCTAACTTTGGCACTTTTGTTTGGCGATTTCATTCCAAAGATGACAGACGGCAGGTAAATTGTCAGCGACGAAGCCTAACTTTGGCGCTTGTTTGACGCATAAGGGCCAAGATGCGCAGACACTGGTCAAGAAAGGTAAAGTTTGGCTCCGCCTTGGCTTCTTTGGGCTTTTTAGGGTCCTAAATTCCCAGACAAAAACCGAACTTGTTTCGCAAGGAACTGTGCTACCTGGGGAGTTCACATTGGAGCTTCGAAGTGTCCTCAAACGGCGGGGTTACGTTAGGGTTCCGTAACACTCTTAACTATAGATCAACTAAAAGTTGACCACAGAAATTTTTAGAATTTCGAGTTCTCGCCTGTGGTCGTGCTTGGATAATCTACTCCAGTTGAAAAAAAAAAATATACGATGGCAGTTTTCAATTACAGCTAATTACGGCCGCAGGGTCGAAGCCGCAGCCCTTACCTCAGAATGTTGGCTTCGAGAAGATCCGAGGAATTGAATGTTCCATTGCAGAATAGGTTTGTTTTATATGGCTGCTCCTCTTGTACCTCGACCAATTACGAGTCAAACTCGCGCCACAACACCGCCCTCTCCTGGCAACCTGGGACACTGCCAACATCTTGCAGTAGTTTCGAGAAGCTTATTATTCTTTTTCTTATTGTTTGAACAGGTTTCGGCAGCAGCTCACAGTGTTTTTTTTTTCGATTAAGTTGAGCGAAAAAGACGTGCTTCGCTTTATGATTGATTATAAATGCGAATACGAATAGTAAGCTGAAACACGAGTGTCATAGATAGACCACGTCTACTCATTAAACAAAAAAAAAAAGTATGTTCAGTCAGAATAACAAATTAGACTGAGACAAGTTATCTTTCTTGTTGAGATACACGTGAAATGAATGCAAGCTTATCATACGGAGTCGGCTACGAAAAGACTAAACTTACTTTCGCATTCGCAGTGAAGGAGCTCCGGACGTAAATTTTGCTGCGCCGAAGAAGGTCACAGCTGACTTAATTGAAGCACGTGTTTAAGACCCGTTTTAATTGATTCCTGTTTGAATAAGCCGTCTATTATTGCGAGATTACAATTGTTACGCCTTGCACGTCTTTAAGTTCAGATAACAAGGTGCCCTCCCAAGCACAAGTTATATTCATATTCAACCCAAGGAAGACATTTTTGTTTTCTAAATTTTAGTCGCTCTATTATATGTGTTGAGATAGCCATCCATGTCGCGTTCGATATTGAAGAATATCAGTTGATCCCCATTAAAAAACACTGACTTAAAAAGCCTAGTGATGGAACGGTCATAAAGGGACGTGTTATGGCACAAGCAAAATCGCAATCTGGTGCAAGTCTACGCTTGTACGACTCAGCAGTCAACGGACTTTTACTCAACGATAATCGAATTAAAATAATTAACCGCTATGTTTCTAAATCAGGATATATGTATGCTTAATAAGGTTGCTAATCTTGCACGGTGCTTTTTCTATGAGCATTTGTTTTAGACCGGCCTTACGTCTGACGTTTTCTTGACGTTTCTTCAACATGCGCGAAAAACCGT